CCCCCCCGCCCAGCCTATACCCTCACTACCTTTTATGCCTTTGCTGTTTCTCTGCAGAACACCCAGTAGTGTTTGAAGTTCTTGTGGCTACAGCTGTGCATGTGGTCTTGCCATGTTCCCCAAGCTCAGCTTGGGCATCCTGTGTGTGGCACCAGCCCAGTGGAGTGACTGCTTTTACCCCCCGGAGGGATGGGCTTGAGGTGGTGGTAAACCCAGGGGCCATGGGTGCTTATGCTTGTGAATGTCAGGAGGGTGGGGCTGCCCGCGTGGTAGCAGCTTATAGCTTGGTATGGGGCAGCCATCAGGGCCCCTCAAGCCGGGCCCACACTGTGGGGGCTGGACTGGCTGGCTTCTTTCTGGGGGTTCTTGCAGCATCGCTGACTCTCCTTCTGATTGGTCGACGTCAGCAGCGAAGGCGACAGAGGGAACTTCTGGCTAGAGACAAGGTGGGCTTGGACCTGGGGGCGCCGCCATCTGGGACCACAAGCTACAGCCAGGATCCTCCCTCTCCCTCTCCTGAAGATGAGCGGCTGCCCCTGGCTCTAGGCAAGAGGGGCAGTGGCTTTGGTGGCTTCCCTCCACCTTTTCTGCTTGATCCTTGCTCAAGCCCAGCCCATATTCGGTTAACTGGGGCTCCTCTGGCCACATGTGATGAAACATCCATCTAGGGCTGGGTGAGTGACCACTAGTGCATGACTGGCCACTGGAGTGGTGTGACCATTGAGATGTTGGGGTCACTGGGCCTGGAAAACCATCATGGCCTCTGAGTTCTCTTTGTCCTTTGAGTGATCACTTGACTTCAGTGTCAGCCCTCTCTGGCCCTAGATGGGTTCCAGGCCAGGCCTTTGTCTGTGTCCTGATTCCTGATTCCCATGAGAGATCAGAACTTCTCTCTGCAGTGAATCAGGGCTTTTCCCACACCTGCTCTCTGAACTCCAGTAACCCCTTCAGTCCTGTCCCATTATTTTGGGCCCATAAATTTGGGGAGGGGCATAGAACATAGCTGTGATTTTGCCTTCTGGTTGGACCCTGGCCAAATGGAGGAGCTATGGAGGTGGTTGGAAGCTAATGTGCACTGAGTCCTTGGAGTGGTTTTGCTCATTCTTCCAGTTAGTCTAATTCTCTGTGGAGAGTGCATGACCCCCCTCCACCTCACTTTTCCTTCTTCCATGAAAGAGCATGTGTGTATATATGAGTGTTCATAGGACACTTGCCAAATGTGCATGAATGATGGGGCTGTTGCTCAGGTGTATTCATCGGGGTAAGGAGGGGTAAGGTTGGGGTGGGGGGGTTGACTGCAGAACTTTATACCCTATAGCCAGTGAAGGAATGGCTTTCTAAAAGGAAATAAACAACTGCCCCCACTCCTCCAATCACTTCTCACAACCCTTCTCTTGAGTTGAGAAACACTCCCAAAGAGGCCTTCTGGGTGGGAAGGGTAGCAGTACATGTGACCCCATATTTCAGTTTTTTTTTGCCTCCTGGCTGCCACGCCTGCCCTGCACAGCTGCTCTCTTTCT